GAGTCAATGTGTACTTGTGATTGAACTTGCAACCCAGGTACATGACCTTGCCTGCGAATCTATTTCAGCATCCCTCAGGTGTGTGGGCTGATGCTCTTATCATTGAGACACAATGACCAAGACCAAACTTGATGTTTACTCATTCAGGAAAGATCAGGGCCTTTTTCTCTCACTAGATTGATAAATATAGACAACCTCTTTTACTTGCTAAACCTCACCACATTTGCAATCCACAATAGGACCACGTGGTTCAGCACTCAGTGACCCATCATGCTTGTCAAAAAGGGAATCAGGCTCTGTAGAGACGGCTCCTCTCCCTCCTCGGTCAGGTCAATGGCTGGAGCACTTTGTTACAGAGGATTAGGTTGCACCTGCCCGGGTCACTAGTTTTTACTTGGAGCACATGCTGACTCCCAGATGATGAACGCCTGGGAACTCCTGCAACAGAGCTTGCTCCCTGTCCCACTAACCATGGCCCCAAAGAACAGAGTAGTCCCAGTCCTGCTGGTGAGGGTCTCAGGGCCACACACATGGCCCAGCACCAACTATCCCTGACATCTGCCCTGGGCTTTTGCCTGCCCACAGCCACCTGCCTAGCAGCCACTGCTGCTCCCAGCTTTGACACCTGAGAGGAATCAACTTCTCATCCACTTGGAAATAAGCCAATCTCAATACCCACCTGGAAGTTGCAGAGACCACAAGGGGCAGGTATTCTCCTGGATGATTTGGTTTTAGTCTCAGGGAGCACTGATGTCATAATCCCCTGTGGGTAATTGTACAGCGCAGCCCCTATTACCCACTCTCCACACTGACAGCACCAGCACCTCCCCTCCTGTCCTCTCCATCATTGCATGCTCTGTCCCATGAAAACCCTGGCTGCTCATTCCCCATAGTTCCCTGGGTTGTGCTTGTGTTTACGTGTGTTGACTGACTGGATGAATAAAAAAATATATATTGATTTTAGAGAGAAATGGGGAGAAACAAAACATCAATTTGTTGTTCTACTATTTTTATGTATTATTTGCTTGATTCTTGTATATGCCCTGACCAGGGATTGAACCTGCAACCTTTATTTATTGAGATGATGCTCTAACCAACTGAGCTATCCAGGCATGGCCAGATACAGATGGGATTATAAGTAAAATAAGCCATCAATGTACCTGGGGATAGATAGATTAAAAAAACAAACAACCATGAGGAGAGTTAATAATATAGATATTTTTCCTATAAGCTATTACAAAGGTTGACTATGTCCTTGTATCAGTTATTTTATAAGTCAAGAAAGAAGCACTGAAAAGGGCAGGAGGAATTTGGTTTCAGGAATGCAGGGATGTATGGAAACATCAAAAGTGCATGTTAAGAAAATGTATATTTTAGCCCTAGCTGGTTTACCTCAGTGGAGTGTCAACCCAAATACTAAAGAGTTGCAGGTTTGATTCCAATCAAGTGTATGTAATGGTTACAGAGTTTATCCCTGGCACTGGTTAAGGTGCAGACAGGAGGCAACCAATTGATGTGTCTCTCACATTGATATTTTACTCTCTGTCACTACCCCTCCCACTCTCTCTCACACACACAAAAAAATCAATTGAAAAATATCCTCGTGTGAGGATTAACAACAAAAAATACATTTATACTCAATTATATTTAAACTTTTAAAAAATGTTTAAAATGTGCCACTTCCCATTATTTTACTGTTTTATTAAGAACGTTCTTGAGCAAATTTGTTGCTACTGTATCAGTATGTTAAAAAAAATAAATATAATGATGTGCTACTGAAATATGATGTCTATGTTCAGTGCCATCATTTTGGCAGTTTGAACCTGGAGACAATGAGAATATTTACACCAGGGAAATTAACAAATACTACAAACCTATACTTCCCTTAATGTATTACTGAATGCTTAGACTTAAAAAAAGAGTGGTGGAAAATGTAAACAATGCAAATTAAACATATATGGCACAAGTTGGCTTAAATTGAACACAGGATAAAAATTGAGAAAAACAATTTTCCTCCCAGTATTCAATATCTATGGTTCCATATGGCAAAGGAGTCACTTGAGTCATTGAGGAATTAGTGAAATTCAAACATATGTCTTAGATGCTGCACAGTCCTTCTTCTGGTTAAAATAATAAATTTATTTAAACAATATAAAAAAAGATTCTGAACTGATATTTTAACAAAGGAAATAAAGACAGTGTAAATAAATGTATGAAATAAACCCTCATCATAAAAATTACTTAGAATAAATGAATTTAAAATGAAATAGAGTTAACAATATATTCATTTCAGGGGCTACTATTTAAAACAGTTAACCATTGCATGTGCTGGCAGGGTTGCAGAAAAACTGGAATTTTTATATACTGTGGGTTAGTGGAAAGGCAAAAGCAATCACCATTTTGGGTCACAGTTCTGCATATTTTAAATGTAAAACATTCAACTACACTGCAACAATTTGAGAAGTAAAACATGTCTATATAGAGAACTGAACACAAATATTCCCAGCAGATTTATTTATAATACCTCAAACCTTGAAATAACCCAAATCATAGATCAATAGATCCAATAGTACTCAGCAATAAAAAAAAAAATCAAGTACTAGTATTCACATAAGCATTACTGTTGAATCCCAAAATAATTGTGTAGAATGGAGGAAACCAGTATTTGTTAAAGAATATACACCAAACAGTGCCTATAAAACTATGAACAATATGAACTATTCTATTCTAAAGGAAGGGAAATCAATGACTGCATGGAGCACTGAGAAAGGCACAAAAAGAGATTATAAAAGGGCTGGAGGAAAATACAGGATGTGGCAAAAGTAGGCTTAGAGTTGTTGGTATGGAAAATAATACAATAATTAATAAATGATGATACAAGAATAAACTTTTCCCTGGCCAGTGTCCTCAGCTGGTTGGGTGTCATCCCATTCACTGAAAGGTCTCTGGTTTGATTCCAGGTCTGTGCACATCCCCAAATGGGTCCCCAGTAGGGGGCCTGCAGGAGACAGCAGATCTATGTTTACCTCTCTCTTACCCTTTCTCCCCCAACCCCCAAAATGAATAAAAGTATTTTCTAAATTATTTTTTAAAAAGAATAATCGCTGTGTTTGCAGTACTTTCAACTGTAAGCCTATTTTTGCCCCATCCTGTGTATGAGGTACAGGTGAATTTATTTCACATTTAACAGTTTCACAATTTTATTTCTATTTCAAGGCTCACCAAATAGTACACATCAGAAAAGTACACTTTGTTGCATGTCAATTCTTATTTCCTGGGAGAAACAGCCTTGCCTCAGTGGCAGCAAATATTGGCAAGCAGTGTAGACTATTGCCATGGACAGGAATGCTGACTGCTTACAAAAGACATACCTTGGAACTGATTATAGGATTACTAGAGGCCCAGGGCATGAAATTCATGCACGGGTAAAATCCCTAGGCCTGGCTGGCAAAAAGGGGCCAATTGGGGCCTTCTGGCTGCCGGATGGAGCCTTCCTTCGGGCTGCCAGTTGGGGCCCTCCTTCATTCCACACTGCCCTGGTGGTCAGCACATGTCATAGTGAGCGATAGAATACCCTATCTCCTGTGCAAATCCCTGAGGGGACAATTTGCATAATATATATCCTTTCGCTAGCTTTGAGTTCTTGCTTGTCAAGCAACAACCTTGAGGTGCATACCCTAGAGGGGCCAGCAGAATTCACAGCACCTTTATATTATTTTGTGTGCCAGTGATTTCAGCTACAGGAAAGTTATGGAGGTCCTCAGAATGTCCTAAAAGATGATACAAGCCACAGGCCCTGGAATAATTATGGGTTAATGTCCAGAAGAGGTACTTTTCATCTCGTTCAACTGTAGTCTCTTCCATGATTATGAAAACAAGTGTTTCTGTCCCTATTAGTTCCACCTCAGAGATTCACAACAAATGAAAACAGCCTATGAAATTTCATACATAATGGCACATGGCCTTTCTGGAGCACGTATAGAATAGTTCTCTAAACATTGCTGAAACTTATGTAATACAAACTTTAATGCATATTGTTTGTACAAGCACAACAAAGGCTTCCTCTTCAGGGTGACCAGTGACCTCACCAATAAAAGAGGGACCTAATTTCAAATTAAAACCACAAAGTCATGTACACTTTCTTTTACAGCCTTGGGCAGCAATACAAAATAAGCCAATATTGGACAAATAGTGATTTTCTGTCATGCTGTGCCTTCCAAAGCACGGAAAGTTTGGGACCCCAACATATCCATTTACCTTTCCATGCTGACAGATCACAACTTTCCTTTCAAATCATCCCAGGCAGTGAATAGAACCAACAAACTAAAGGTACAAAAGAAAAAAAAAACATTTACAAAAACATAAATGGGAACAGAGGACAGCAAGTAATTTGCAAGCTAGTGAATTAGAACGGAAACAATTCATCACAACATAATGTAAGAACCACAGTGTCCCTGACAGAGGCAGCACTTCTTAATTAAGGACGGGTGCTCTGGATGAACCCTGGGTCAGTTATAATCTCTAGCCAAAGATAAAAGAATGAAGGTCCTGTTAAGAGCTCAGAATAATCTTAATTTCCTCCAGCACAAGTGAGAACACAAAATTCATTCCCCTAAGCACACAGGTGTTGTGACTGATGCACATTTTTCATGTGGTAGAGGTGAAATTGTTCAGCCACAAATACTCGCAGTGACATCAATGGGATATTAGGTCTGGGCAGGTTGACAAATGCAGATCCTTCAAGTCTCAGTTGTACCTGAAGCTTATGAGGAAACTAGCATAGTACAGTAGGTCCTTGGGTTATGTCGGAGATCTGTTCTTACAGTGCGATGTAATGTAATTTCCGCTGTCAGTCGGAACCCACCTACATAAGCACCTACGTCACTCACATGGAGCACATACACAGCAGTAATTAAGTGAAACAGTAAAAAAAAAAAAAGATAACAATTCTTGACCTTTATTTGTGGTAAATAAATAATAGAAAACATAAAGCACATATGTACATACATCAAAACAACGGAACTTTTTTTTTATAAATACTGTAAATGGGAGATGGTGACGTAACCATGAAATGATGTACATTGAGTCTGACGTAATCTGAGGACTGCCTGTATATCTTTCTAAAAAAGGAGCTTATATTCAGTAAATGGGTCCCAAAGTATCTCTTTCAGTATTGCCATTCTGAGTGAGAAAGATAAAATATGATCTGGATATTTAAGCCTTTTCTCCAGTGTGAACTCTCAGATGTCTAATCAGGCTATGTTTCTGGCTAAAATATTTCTTACATAAACTACACTCAAAGGGTTTTTCTCCAGTGTGAACTCTGTGGTGTTGAATGAGGTTAGAGCTTTGACTGAATGACTTCCCGCAATCACTACACTGATATGGCTTTTCTCCAGTGTGAACTCTCTGATGCTCAGTGAGACTACAGAACTGCATGAAAGACTTCCCACAATCACTACACTCATATGGCTTTTCTCCTGTATGAACTCTGTGGTGTTTAATGAGGGCAGAGCTCTGACTAAAGGACTTCCCACAATCACTACACTCATATGGCTTTTCTCCAGTGTGAACTCTGTGGTGTTTTAGGAGGTTAGAGCTATGACTGAAGGACTTTCCACATTCACTACATTGATATGGCTTTTCCCCAATATGAATTCTCTGGTGCTCAGTGAGAGCAAAGATTTGCCTGAAAGACTTTCCACAATCACTACACTCATATGGCTTTTCTCCAGTGTGAACTCTGTGGTGTTTAATGAGGGTAGAGATCAGACTGAAGGACTTCCCACAATCACTACACTCATATGGCTTTTCTCCAGTATGAACTCTGTGGTGTTTAATGAGGGAACAGTTCTGACTGAAGGATTTCCCACAATCACTGCACTTATATGGCTTTTCTCCGGTGTGAACTCTGTGGTGTTGAATGAGGTTAGAGTTTTGACTGAAGGATTTCCCACAATCACTACATTGATATGTTTTTTCTCCAGTGTGAACTCTCTTCTGGTTACAGGGGTAATTACTGCACCTAAGCGATTTCCCACATTCACTAAACTCAAAAGATTGTTCTCCAGTATGAACTCTATGATGTTTAGTGAGGGAAGATCTTTGATGGAAGAGCTTCCCACAATCAGTACACTCATAGGACATAATTCCAGTGTGAACTCGCTGATGTTGAGTGAGGTTAATGATACATCTAAAAACTTTCCCACATTTGTTACACTCATATTTCACTTCACCAGAGCAGACACCCTGATGTTGAACAAATTTATGTCTGTGGCTTGCAGCACTTTCATGTTTGTTCCACTGATGATGACTTTTTACATTGTGAAATTTCTGTGAAATCTCATTGCCCCTGTAAGGCTCCTCAGTGTTAAGAGATGCCTGGGGCTGCAACAACCCTGAGCTGGCTGGCCAGTCTTTCCCAGCCTCCCCAGTGGTTGAAAGCACCCCTGACAAGTAGAAGCTGCACCTGGTCCCAAAGGAGGCCCCGTTCATAGCTTCTTTCCAGGGCTTCTCTCCACTGGTATCCCTCTGTTGCTGGTGATGGTTTGCATTGGAACAGAAGTTTCTCACACATGTGTCACTGAAGAAGGCTTTCTGCTCAAAGTATGCTGCTTGTGACTCAGTCAGTTGAATATCTTTTAAAACTGAGAAACAATGCTTACAGAGGTGGGTCTTCTGGGTTGGTGGCACTGTCTTAGAAGCCATGAATTTTGACTCCACTTGTACAGAAACACTCCCATCAGAACATTCCTCCTCCTCTTCTGTTTTATGCCAACAACCTGCAAACAGAAAAATGGTGAGGAAATGAAAGTTGACTGTGGCGACAGGGGGAAGACCCATTACAAAAGTGTGTTGCTCATATTACCTTGGCTTCATGCAACTTGATGAAAATAAAAGATTTGCAGGAAGGATTTACAAGATGAAGCTATAAAGTTCTGGGCTACTGAAGTTAAAAAACAAGGAGGACCTCAAACAAAATATGATACATACGTGACAAGTGCCACATGGAACAGAAGAGGTATCACAGAGTCATTCTTTTGCCAACAGAATTCAGCAGGGCTTGTTTGCTGGTGACATGGGTAAGTTGTGCAGAATGTTGGTTACAGAGGGAGTGAGGATGGTGGCCAGCAGGATGGCTGTGAGGGAGCAAAAGGGAAGTGTGTGGATATATGAGGGCAGTTAGATCTCCAGGAGTCTCAGGAGCCTGAAGACTGGGCTCCCCTAGAAGGGGAACCCCTGTTACTGCTGCAAGCACTCCTGGGCAGCCAACTCTGGCTCAGAAACCATGCCATCTTGAAGGGGACAGCTGCTAAGACTAGGAGCCTATCCCTACTACCACTGAGACTGGCCTCAAACACCACCTGGGACCCTACAGCCACTCTATCCAAAGACCTGCTATTTCAGCTGCAGATGCACAAACACAAGGACTGCAGCTTTCCTGGCCACAGGCTCCTGTGAGTCCCAGAGTGTGCAACGCTCTCACCAACTCACCACTTCAGCCACGGCCCCCTCGTGTCCCAGCGCCTGGATTCTCTGGTGACTCTCAGGTGTGCGACCCTCCCACCAAGCCCTCCACTTCAGCCATAGGCCCCTCAGGACTCTGCGCCTGGACCCTTCAGTAAGAGCAAAAATGGGGAGACAAAGTAACAAACCCAAATGAAAGAAAAGGAGGAATGAATAGAAAAGGAACTAAATAAAATAGAGGCATGCAATATGTCAGAAAAAGATTTCATAGTAAGAGCCATACAGTTCATAAAATGGATGGATGAGAAAACCAACAACTTATGTAAGAATCAAAAGGAAATCAAGAATGATTTAACTACAATAAAAAACACAATGGAAACTTTTAACATTAGATTAGAAGAAGCAGAGGATTGAATTAGTGAGTTGGAAGAAAGGCCAGAAAAACACACCCAATCTGAGCAGCAATTGGATAAAAATATTAGAAAGCAGGAGTAGAGCCTAAGGGAGCTTTGGGACAACAGGAAACAAAGTAACATATGTATAATAGGAGTGCCAAAAGGACAAGAGAGGAGCAAGGATTAGAAAGCATATTTGAAGAAATAATAACAGAAGACTCCAAATTTGGGATGGAAAAGTCACACAAGCACAGAGAGTTCCAAACAAGATGAACCCAAAAGCCACACACCAAGACATGTCAAAATTACAATGGCAAATGTTACCAACAAAGAGAGAATCTTAAAGGCTGTCAGAGAGAGAGAGAGAGAGAGACAAAGAGTTACCTACAAAGGATCTCAAACTAGATTATCAAATGATTTCTCAACAGAAATACATCTGGCTAGAAGGGAATGGAATGAAGTATAAAAAGTGATTCAAAGCAAGGCTTTGAATCCAAGAATACTCTATCCAGCAAGGCTATCATTCAAAATTGAAGGGGAAATAAGGAGTTTCACAGACAAAAAAAAAGGCTAAGGGAGTTTATTACCAACAAGCCAGCAATGCAAAAAATGCTAAAGGAATTGTCGTAAAAAGAAAAAATAGAAAGGGAAGAAGAAATGCAGGCATAAAGAATAAAAACGGCTACAAACATGTACCTATCAATAATAACCTTAAACATAAACATAAATGGACTAAATGCTCCAATCAAAAGACACAGAGTGGCTGAATGGATAAGAAAACATGACCCATATATATGTTGTCTACAAGAGATCCACCTCAGAACAAAGGATTCACATAGACTAAAAGTGAAGGGTTGGAAAAATACCTTTCAGGCAAATGGAAATGAAATAGAAAGCTGGGATAGCAATACTTATATCTGACAAAATAGACCTCAAACTGAAGGCCATAACAAGAGATAAGGAAGGCTACTTCATAATACTAAAGGCATCCATACAAAGAGGATATAACTTTGGTAAACATATATGCACCCAATGCAGGAGCACCCAAATCCATAAAAAAAACTTCTGGAAGATATCAAGGGAGAGATCGATGCCAATACAATCATAATAGGGGACTTTAATACCCCATTGATATCACTGGATAAATCCTCTAGACAAAAAAATGAGCAAAGAAACGGCAATCCTAAACGACTCACTAGATCACATGGACTTAATTGACATCTTTAGATCATTTCACTCCAAAGCTACAGAAAATACATTCTTCTCAAGTGCACATGGGACATTTTCAAAGATAGGCCACATACTGGGACACAGGCAAAGTCTCTTCAAATTCAAGAAGATTGATATCATATCAATCATCTTTTCAGATCATAATGGCATAATATTAGAAATAAACTACAATAAAACCAATTTAAAAATTCAAACACGTAGAAGTTATACAGCATGTTATTAAACAATGACTGGGTTACCAAAGAGATCAAAGAAGAAATAAAAAACATCCTGGAAATAAATGACAATGAAAACACAACAACTCAAAATCTACGGGACACAGTGAAAGCATTCCTGACAGGGAAGTTCATACATAGCATTACAGGCCTAGTTCAAAAAACAGGAAAAGCTGGTAATAAGTTATATAACTCTAAAACTTGAAGAATTAGAAAGAGAGCAACAAGAAAAGCCCAGAGTGAACAGAAGGAAGGAAATAATAAAGATTAGAGTGAAAATAAATGACATAGAGAACAACAACAAAAAAATACAAAAGATCAATAAAACCAAGAGCTGGTTCTTTGAAAGGATAAACAAGATTGATGAACCTCTAGCCAGCTTCACCAAGAAGCAAACAGAGGATCCAGATTAAAAAAAAAATCAGAAATGAAAGAGGCAAAATAACAACAGAACCCACAGAAATACAAAGGATTGTTAAAAAAAAACACTATGGACAACTCTATTCCAACAAACTTGTCAACCAAGAAGAAATGGACATATTCCTCAAAGTGGATAAAAGTCTTAAACGTAAGATGGAATATCATAAAAATCTTAGAAGAATCCATATGCAGCAAAATATCAGACATATGTCATAGCAATATCTTTAACAATACAGCTCATAGGGCAATGGAAACGAAGGAGAAAATAAACACATGGGACTACATCAAAATAAAAAGCTTCTGCACAGCAAAAGAAACCATAAACAAAACAAGAAAGCCCACTGCATGGGAGAACATATTTGCCAATGTTAACTCCGATAAGGATTTAATCTCCAACATATAACTTAACAAAAGGAAGATAAACAATCGAATCAAAAATGGGCAAAGGACTTAAATAGACACTTTTTGAAAGTGTACATATAGAAGGCCAAGAGACATATGAAAACATGCTCAAAGTCACTAATCATCCGAGAGATGCAAATCAAAATGACAATGAGATACCATCTCACACATGTAAGAATGGCTATCTTCAACAAATCCACAAATGACAAGTGCTGACGAGGATGTGGGGGAAAAAGGAACCCTCGTGCGCTGCTGGTGGGAATGCAGACTGGTGCTGCAACTGTGGAAAACAGTATGGAGTTTCCTCAGAAAGTTTAAAATGGAGCTCCCATTTGACCCAGTAATCCCACTTCTAGGAATATATCCCAAGAAATCAGAAACACCAATCAGAGAGGACATATGCACTCCTATGTTCATAGCAGCACAATCTACAATAGCTAATATTTGGTAATAGCCTAAGGGCCCATCAGCAGATGAGTGGATTAAAAAACTGTGGTACATCTACAAAATGGAATACTACACTGTTATAAAAAAAGAAAGATCTATTACCATTTACAACAGCATGGGTGGACATGGAGAGCATTATGCAAAACGATATAAGCCAGTTGGAGAAAGAAAAATATCACATGATCTGACTCATTTGTGGAATATAATGAAAAACAAAAAATTAATGAACAAAAATAGATCCAGAGATAGAGAAGCATTTGTGGAATATAATGAAAAACATAAAATTGATGAACAAAAATAGATCCAGAGATAGAGAAGCATTGAACACCCAAAAGGCATGTACTGGGTGGTGGGAGTGGCCAGGGAGAGGTCAATGGGGGTAAAAGGAGACACACATAATATTTTATGTAATATTTTAAACAATAAAGAATTTTTTAAAAGAATGTTAGTTACATCTTATTTCAAGTATCCTATATAATAAAAGCCCAGGCGTCACAACCAGAACGATCAACCAGTTGCTGAGGTGCACTGACCACCTCTCAGTCCCTCCCTGCAGCCCGCAGGCGTCCATTGCTGGATGGCCACCATGGAACCACGGGGAACTGGGCTGGGTGGCAGCAGAGTAGGACCGGGAACTGGCGAGTGGGAGGAAGGCAGACCTCTTGGTCCTTCCCCCCGGCCGAGAGGCTCCGATTGATTGATCCTAAGTTTCTCCCGACAGGAACGTGGTGCCTCCACTGCACAGCCTCCTGGGATGCGGACTCACCACTGTGAGATGCTATGGCAGGGGTGGGCAAACTTTTTGACTCGAGGGCCACAATGGGTTCTTAAACTGGACCGGAGGGCCAGAACAAAAGCATGGATGGAGTGTTTGTGTGAACTAATATAAATTCAAAGTAAACATCATTACATAAAAGGGTACGGCCTTTTTTTTTTTAGTTTTATTCATTTCAAACGGGCCAGATCCAGCCAGCGGGCCGTAGTTTGCCCACGGCTGTGCTATGGAGTGGAGACTTCAATAAGGACTTCAGCGCCTGCAGCGACCCTCAGCCTTCACTGGGGGGAGGTGGACGGAGAAATCAGCTTCAAAGCAGAAACACCCTCCTCAGGAATAATCCGCCTCCTCCCTACTCCACAGCCACTTCCATGTCTGCAAGAAACTGCGCATGCTCCTCCCTGTGGGATGGGCGGGGCCAGAGCTTGAGCTGAGCAGTTCTGCGATGGAGGAGGGGCCAAGCCAGGCCGCTGGGCCAGTACAGGGATGGAGGGTAGGAGGTTGGGGCAGGAGCAAGGGGGCAGCCCTGGTTGCCTGCACCTCCTCCCACAGGCATAGCCCTTCCTGGTTGAGTTTCCCACGTCATTGTTAGGGTTTTGGCTGATGACGCCAGCTATGAAAGGATTCACAAGGGAGAGAAGAGACAGGTACAGAGAGAGGGCGTTTATTTTACTTATTTAAAGGGAGCAAAGGGCCAGGTGTCTTTTGATGGCACAAGGCACCTAAGGCAGAGAGGGCTGTTCTTTTAATCGCTGGATGGCGAACGAGGAACCGGGGTGGGTGGCAGCGGCAGGGGCTGGACTGGGGACTGGCAGCGGCGGAGCTAGGCCTAGGGGCCTTACCCATGCATGATTTCGTGTGCTGGGCTTCTAGTATTTCAATAAATGGATAGGTTTTGTTTGAGGTCTACTTAAAAATATATACGCACCTCATAATACATGTGGAGGTCAATGTTGAAGAATACTGCAGAGAAAGACTTGCAGGGGGACACGTGATGCAAAAAGACCACAAAAGTGAAGGTAGACAAAAGTCAGAAAGTCAAAGATGAAATGACAAGTCAGCAACATGTCAAAGATGGGAAAGAAAAGGTAGAAATGAGCTGTCGCCAGTGGCACTTGCAACTAAACACTGTGGGAAATGAGCAGGTCCCTTGTATGATCTGAACACAGCCCTTATGTCATACTTTTCCCAGTTGCCACTCAACAGAGCAAGGCCTCCTTTGAGATCATCCTGTATGTTCATATTGTGAAAAAAAGAGTGTTCTTCCTGCACTTTCTACTGTTCAAGTGCCTAAAACCTAAATATTCTGAGTATTAATGAAAGACAACGGAGGTGAGAAGCCAGAGCAACTCAGCATGCAATAGTATTCAGGGAAGAGAATATTACAAACAATGGAAGGAGAGTTTCACAAGAACTGCCCATGGTTCATGTAAGTAAAGACCATACCAGGAACAGGCAGGCACCAATGACCTTTAGCTGGAGGAAGGGTGCAGAAGTGGATGCCATGGACCTGGACATAGTCACCCTCCCAGGAAGAGGAAATTAAGCTGGATTCTATGAAGCTATCTACAAGACTCATGACTTCCACACACTTCCTGCACTCTCTGAGGCAATGGGTGTTAGGGGTGCTTGGTGAGTCCATTGCTCAGGGATCTCCACACAGCTCAGCACATGCATTCATAGCACATATTATAAGAAAGTGGGGAAAATTGGCAGAGCCCATGGTTTGGCTGTGGGAGAGAGAAAGTTGCATCTGGAGAATAAAGGAAGAGAGGCCATCACCTCAGGACAGTAGGAGAATGTGAAAATCTTACCTACAGATGATACAAGTGCAAAAACTTCCAGCATCACATCGCAGTATAGATGTCTCTGATCCTCATCAAGGAGCCCCCACTCCTCCTGAGAGAAGGCAATAGCCACGTCCTCAAAGTTCATATCCTGTCATAATGGGGACAGTTCAACCCATGATCAGCATCTCTCCAATTATTTTATGTTTGTCATACTCCCCACCCTCCACATCTCTCCCTCTACTACCTTCATCAAAGGAGGTATCAGGCCTCTGTCCCATCAAAGTAACTCTCTCCTTATATGCCAATTGATTGTGTGTCTTCCCACAACAATAAAGGCTGATGAGCAGATAGAAGATAACTGACCTATGGGCCTCACATGTAGACCACACTGCCTCTTGTCAATACAGTTGATGTCCACAAAACAGGGGAGGAAGAGATGTTGGGTATAAAGGAAGTGTGAGTGATTTGACACTGGTATTATCAGGCATTCCCTTGAAGTGCCCCAGATTGTCCCTCCAAGACTCAGAAAGGCATGGCATCACACTTCACCCTTTGGAACTCACTCACAGAATGATGCTGAGTCCATCACTTTGCATTACCTGTCACATCGTTCTTTGAAACACACTCCTTTCACATAGCCTCTTTCACAAAGTCACAACTTCAAAGACAACACAAATATGCCATAATGAGGCCTGTTTTTTTTCTAATTACCTTCTTTTCCAAAATTCTAACTCACCATTCTGTAACATATTTGTCTCCTACCTTCGTCCTTCCTAATGCCAGTGGAGATTTTCAAGCCCAGGTTACACTGATGTATGCTAATGTGTTTCTAATGATCATGGTATCAGCCCTCAACAAAAACTGACAGGTGTGCACATACATAACACCTAAGCTCTAGACATTGCATGTAGCATGACAACACTCCTATTTTCAGACAATTAAACTAAAATTCCACCTACTATGTCATCAAGTCACCACCAAAAATGAATTCATATTTCATTCACTCTTAAGCCAATTTCAGTGCTCTGTGGCCATGAATGAACCTGCCCTCTCCAAGTGCACATCAGTCTTTCTCCCACACCACTCTCACACCTGGACTCCCACAGCCCCAGACTCCAGAGTCATCTCATTGACTTCCTACTCATTACTCAGCATGTATGGCCCATAGAATAAATGCCTGGCAAACTCAAACTGGAGGAAGTATTACTCCAACTGTGATAGTCCACACTAAAAGAGGCAGCCTTGAATCCTGCTATAAAGGCCTCCCTTCCTGATTGTTTTTTACTTCAACCTCACCTATTGAGAACCACATCAGATCTCAGATATCCAGAGCCCACCTTCACCTGTGCTGCACTTGATGTCCCTTCCCAAGTCACAGCCTTCATCACTCAAGTCCCATCACCTATGTTGCTCTAATCCATGCTCAGTGAATCTCACAGATGAACACTCATGCCCCTAAGCCCGTGGTCGGCAAACCGCGGCTCGCGAGCCACATGCGGCTCTTTGGCCCCTTCAGTGTGGCCACAAAGTTTCAATCGCACTGTACGTGCGCACCCGCACGTGGTATTTTGTGGAAGAGCCACACTCAAGGGGCCGCAGTTTGCCGACCACTGCCCTAAGCAATACCACCAAACTGACTGCAACTTCCCAGGCCACATCAATGGTCACCAAAAAAACATGGTAAGAGTTTAGAGAGTAAATATATACCAACCTCAGTTTCATCTTGTTTGAAATACCATTTGGCATCCAATTAAAAACAAATAACAAAAAGGTGATCTAGAACTCCCCCCACACACATTGCACTATTCGTTTAAGAAGTCTTTATATCGAATTGTTTATCAGAGTACTAGACACTCATGAACTGCTCTCTGAAATAACCTAACTGAAAAAATAAATAAATAAAATTTTTTTGTATCTCCAATGAACATTAATTTTATATTTTGAATTTTTCCATCTCAGCTAGTGATTCCATACCTCTGGCTGCTAATTTCTAACCTTCACATGATTGCTATTATCTTCCTCTTTCTCAAACTCAAAATTAGAAAATCCAGGGGGGGGGCCACAGCTAAAATACTAACCCAGAGCACAACTCCCACTTGCACTTCCATGAGCACCGTCATGGACAAGTTACCATCACAATCACTCAGAATATCACAGCAACTTCTTTCCTAGTCTTCCCACCACCTCCCTCAGAGGAATATTGTTCATCTTGCTGCAGCCACAGGAAATCTAATGAGACCTGGGTCAGATCACCTGCCTCCACTGCTCCAATTATCCCAATGATCCCATCACATGAAGAACCGACTTCCAATGTGACAAAGCTCCTCTAGACCTTACTCCTTCCTGTCCTATTGTTACCTCTTCTCTTTTTTAATATATATAAAAATAAAAAAGGATACCTGCATGTCCCTGAACAAGTTCAGTCTTTACTCCAATTATTTGCACATTTGGCACATTTACCTGGGAGGACCTCCTACATCTCATTCCATTGGTTGCCAATATATGGGAATACTTCATACAACTCTAGACCTGTACTTAGGATTCTGGGCTTAGTGTTTGTTCAAGGTTCTCAGGCCCAAAGGCTGAAAGAGTGGCAGGACAGTCCCAGGACTCCACTATCTCAGAGACCACAAGAGTGTGAGGCTCTGAAATAAGCTCCACAAACCAGTACCACTAAGCGATTCTGCACTAGCAGCAATCTGGGGAAAGATACATGTCTGTTAAGAATCTGGCAACCACCGCCAGGATCCAAGGGCTCAGGCTGCTCAGCACACTTGCTCAGCCCCAGGCCAGGTCACCTGGAGATGCCTGCATTACCTCAGGGCTTCAGTCTTCAGTGCACTTTCTAGCCTATCTTTCAAAGGATTTCTCCTTCCTGTCCCCAACTGGTATCTACTCCCTTCTAATTTGTTCTTCCTCTGAGCAGTGGGAAAAGTTTAGAACCCTACTTCAGACAATGATCCTCTTTTAATCTCCACCATCGATGACCCTAGGATCCCAAGAATGAAAGCAAAACTCCTCACACAAAATTTTGCCTCATCTTCTCTTGCCTTTGGATACAAAACAGACCTTGTTTTCCCAAATCCTCCCAGCTCAGCTACACTCATCAGAACTTTACAGGGTGGCATTGTAGCTGATACCCTTTCACCAATGACACCGTGTATCACCCATAAGCAACTCACTGTTCTGGACGCTGTGTCCTGGGCTTCAGGACCTGACAGGCACAAGCACCTGAGGGTGGAGGATAAATGGAGTGAGGTTGACTAGAACCCTGCAAGCAAAACGGAGGCTGGGAGGCATAAAGGCCTCAATACCACCTGTTGTTGCTCAACAAGCTTCAGACAAATCATTGGACAGTGGGCAAAGTGTTTCTGACACCTGATCCTAGTTGTGACCCATCCCTGGAGCCTCTGGGGTGCCTGGCCAGCCTGGGTGAGGGGCTGATGGCTGTTTGAAGGCTGGTCAAGCCACCCCCCCCCCCAGTGGGGACCAAGAGGTCAAAATGACCACCTGGAGAAAGACTCAGTAACACCCAAATCAATCAGCACTAAATAATACCCTTGTCCTGGGCGTTCATTGGCTAAAAGCAGCAATCATTAGGCGCATTGCCCATTGTAACTGAGTTTTTAAGGCCCAGCAGATGGCATTAGGATACAAATCACTGAGTAATTATTGCAAATATTGGTGTTGGGGTGCCCCAGTGGCGCTGGGAAATGACAACTTTAGGATTTGGGGGTTGGTCGCAGGTTTCTGGGAAGTGCTGTTCTCTTGTTTTGAGATATTATTTCAGATTCTGAGAAACTCAGAATTTTCCGAGGTAAAAAGCATTATTTTAATTATTCCCAAAGACCACAAATCTAAATGGATATATTGTTTTTAAGCTTTTAAATTTAATTTGTAAAGAGAGGAAGAGGAAGGAAAAGAGAGAAACACTGTTTGGTGCCTCCTGCCTGGCCCACACCCACCCACTGGGCATCCACCCAGAAAACCTGGCTTGTGTCTCACCAGGAATCGAACTGGTATCCTTTCCATGCATGGTACTACGCTCAACCTACAGACCCGCTCCAGCTATCAGAAATTTTATTTTTAACAAAAAAATCTATATATATCTACACTAATAAAAGACAAACATGCAAATTGACCATACTTTTGCTATGCCTTAAGCCACACCCACCAGCCAATCAGAGCAACTATATGCAAATTAACCCAACCAAGATGGCGGC